GTTTCTGAAAACAGCAAAGTCATCGGCATTTACGGTGGTTCCTATGTGTTTTACATATCGATGAGACGGAGGTGGACCATGGAGGGATGACCATATATATCTATATCAATACTCATGCCGGCCTGTATAGAGAGTTCTTCAAAACCATTGATTTAATAGTGACATCTATGAACTTTTGTATCGGTAGGTCAGCCACAAAATAAGTGCATCAGCATATGAGAATTCACTGGGGCCCTAGGGTTTACGCCCCATTGCAGGGTTTTTGTTTTTGCAGGCTTCTTAAGACACAACCGAAAGCTAAAGTATCAGAAAGGAATGACGGAATCCACAAAAAAAACCAAATAGTAGATGATAAATGACAGAACTATGATCCAAACTGTGGAGAGGATGGGGCCATCGTGAACGCTACATCTAACATTTCGGTCTCAATAACCAAAGCATCAAACAAAACCTTGAAAAACAAAATGGATGACAAGCTTTAAACATATGTCGGGAAATATGAAACAAAACGCGGCACATCCGAATACTCTGAACTTGTGGCTTGGTAGCAGAAACCCAAATCTCTACAGTATTGTATGATTGAATTTATCACCTGCTATTCAGTATGAGAGTTTAAAAACCTAGCCGTCGAAGTTGAAAATTTATAAATGGCAGACGCACTCTCGATATCATATGCAAGTACAAAACAAAACGGAGCGACAAAATCAATAATCCATGGTACGAAAAATAAGTCTAAAAATGTGATACAAAAGTTTGATATATGATCTATATTTTTTGAAGAAGATGTATAACATACAAAGAAGCATATAATACATAACTTCTATTTGTGTATATCAAAAAAAGATATATGATATCTATATATATATAACATGAAACAAAACCCACGAATACATCATCCGTGTTGTGTATCAACAATAAGATCTGGTGTAAAGCAAGAAGTACGTGTAATATGTATATAAATATATAGATAAATAAATATATATATATATATATATGCATTCCCGTGTTCTACTGCATGACGTATAACAAAAATACATATAGATGTATATAGTTAGTTTAACATGTAAAGCATACATATATAGGAAAAATGCAATATAACAACAGAATATATATGTGTATGTATATATATATATATATACACGTATTACATGTAGTAATTATAACAGTAAATGTGCATTTATACATATACACATACATATATATATATATATGTATCCACATGTTCCCCATGCTAATATCTACACCACCCCGCTCCACACACACCAACACATACACACACTTTCTGAGACACATACACACGCACACAACAAGCACCGATTGAAACCCATACAAGACATATACGTTACAATACTCAAATGGTACTACATACAACGTATAACATATACAGTATACATATGTCCTTCGTGTGTATATATAGACGCATATACATAATACTTCAATAGCAGAAGAAACACAAATACATGTGTAAATATATGTATGTATGTAGTATGTATGTGAGTATACATATATATATAGGTAGAAAGAGGCAGTCTGTATGCATACATAGCATTTACAACACACTAAATGCACATGTTAACCTGGAAAACACACTCTGTATATGTATGTGTATATATATATAACTACATATATATGTATATATGTATATTGTATAAGACAAACACATATAAGTTCTATATATATATATATATTTATCATAAGAACTATATGATATGCATACATTACGTAAATAGACGTATATATATATATATATATCAGCACAGAACTGAAATTACATAACCTGTGTATATATATATATATACACATACCTGTGTGGATGCTGGTGATGCTAGTGTAAGGCATTAGAATGATGATATAATAAAGCAAATACACAATATAATACGACGTATACATGCATACCTATACATATATATATATATATGTAATATGTACATACATACATCCATCCATCCATCCATCCATCCATACATACATACATACATACATACATACGGTGTATCGCATCCGGTCCGGGCATTTCCGATCATGAGCATCAGGGCGCTGAATGGCACTGAAGCACGGAATGGTGCATAGCATCAGGTCCGGGAGGCTTTGTCTATAAGGTCCGAACCTATGGGCTCTGCGGGCCCTGCGGGCCTTGATGGGCCTTTGTGGCCTTGCTTACTGGCCCTACGGGCTTTACGCGCCCTACAGGCCGTCGCGGGCCCGGGCCTGGTTAAGGACCTTGGCCCGCTCCAAACAAAAAACAAAACACAACACACTCCGCTTCGGCCCCACCTTCACCGGCCTGGCATCCATCCGGATCTTTCCCCAGCTCACTGCCTCGTCGGGGCGTGCACCACTGTCCGAGCCATCGAACTCCTCGGTGGCCGCAGCGAGGCTAACGCAAGCTTCCGAAAACTTCGGCCTCTAAGTAACCCGTGTGTGTTAGCTCGCTGTGTGTATATTTCATTCCTGTGTTGCCAGCGGTGCAAAACGCGACTATATATTTCTTGATAAACGGAAAGCTTAATGCAGCACATTGCGTGTACACAGAGACTCAACCAACCCCTGCACTTAGCTCACTAGACCGAAACATCTCACTCAAATGTTCGCTTCGGCAGTGAACCCCTTGCAGCACAATCGAAGGACCATCCCGTTTCAGATTCACGTCATGTCAGGAAACACAAGGCCTGAGCGGTGTTCACATACACGACGAAGTCGGCACCATTTCCTTGATTTTGCGGACGTGCTACGATCCGGTGCATCATTCACGCAAAAATCCGAAACAAAGGCGCACCCACCTAGTGGCTAGTCTCCTTCTCCACGGCTCAATCATGTCTCTCTTGGTCTTTTCCAAGATGAACGAGAAACAGGGGTGTGTTTCTTAGCACAACCTGCTTGAAATAGCATAGTCAGGTCAGTCTTCCTTCAATGTATGGCAAACGTGCTCGCAAAAGGATGTGAAACTTCACTGGAGTTCGAGACCCACGGAGCTTGGCCAGAAGTTTGCCACCGCCGGGTTGCGAAGGTGTTTTTTGAGCATGAAGCTGGGTTGAAGGGTGGACAGGAGCTTGAGATGTGTGGCGCAAGGATTTTGGTAGAGAGCATTGTCGAACTGAAAGCACAAATACGTGACAGATGTCACCCCCAGTCCCCTGAGCAAGTGTCCGTTGCCCAGACGAATCGATCCGAAACTGCACTCAGAAATCCATTTCCGAAATTTTTGCAAGCCTGCAACCTTGCTTCGACTCCAACGCTGCAGCTTTGTAAAGCACTTCCTGAACATTCCACGCTGGTAGCCTACCTTTGCAAAACTTTCCCACAACCCACCAAGAAGGTGTGCACCGTATTCTTTCCTTCTTTCTCCTGGCGACCACAAGAGTGTTACATTTGTCCCGGGGACTTCTTGCAGCATTGTGGCCTTCTGCCGTCGCAACCCGCCTGGAGTATGTCTCCATGTGAATCTCCGATTTCCACCCCAAAAGGCTAAAACGTTTTGGTTCCCTGGTTACCATCCGTTGCGGCTTAGTCTGGTTGTGCTTCCCCTTGGCAGCACAAAAGAAAACGACAGTCCGGTGTAGCATTCGGCCAATTGTTCTGCTAAGCTGGTTCCCATTCTTGCCGACCAAACGATGCTCCCACTCGTAGCAGTCCGGCTCGTCCAATGCGGACTTCGGGGCAATCTTACCCATCTAAGGAGTTCGACCGTAAAGGGGGGAAATGCTTGAACGATGGTCTTGGACTGTCACTAAGTACAATTGCGGTCACCCCGCAGCAAGGAGATACCATGTTCAGAACCACAAAGAGGTGCTTCTCGAGGGACGATGGCGCGGAAAAGCTGACTTTTTTGCAAGGTGATCGCTGTTCGGCCTGTTAGGCAACCTGAAACATCCACAATCCAACGATCGAAAGTTGGGATGCAGATCAGCCCTCGTAAAGACGGCAGCCAAAACCGACCTCCCCAAGTCACGGGTGCACGGATGCCAAAAGTGTGAGGTCGGAACTCCACAAGCCGGGCGAAGCTGCAATCCTAGTAAAGATCATCAGGCTTCCCAAGATGAGCACGCCCCTGGATCAAGCTCTCGTAACGAAAAAAATCCTGTAGGTGTGTGGTTGCCCGTGTATACCCCAAGTGCTCCATATTTGCCTACAACAGCGAAGTGACATTGGAACATTGAGCTGCAAACGCATTGCCGAAGACTCCTGCCACCCCCTGGCTGCCCTGATCTACGTTCTCGAGAAGACAGCTGCGTACTCGATCGCTTGCGGCATAATTTGATGGGAAGCTGAAGAGCACATGATGGAACGGTCACTCCGCATTGGTCCTAACTTTCCGATGAGAGGTGCTGATCGCTACGATGAGGAAACCGATCCTTCCCTGCCTCCGGGGTCCTCAACCACAAGCCAGCAAGCAAAACTTCCCGAGGTAAAAGTAAACATGCCATCTGTCCTGCATCCACTCAAAATTGCGCGCACATTGTGTGCACGTTGAAGCTATTGATGTGTGTAAGAAAACAAGACGAAGGATGGGGTCACATGATTCCCTCGCTTCACCAAAAAACATCAAACATTGCAATCGGTCTACATCACATTGAGTGAGTGAGTGAGTGAGTGAGTGAGTGAGTGAGTGAGTGAGTGCGTGAGTGAGTGAGTGAGTGAGTGAGTGAGTGAGTGAGTGCGTGAGTGAGTGAG